GCTTAATTACTCCAGCCGAGACAGGATGAACTATTCGTACTTAAACTTCGCCGTCGACAGCAGATCGACATCAGGCAGTCTAACAAATAGTAGTTCAGTTACAGACGCTCTAGAGATGTACCTCATCTTCTTCACCATCTACATTCACCAGAAAATGTAACGTTCGTCGAATCTAGTTCCTACTCAAGACGCTTCAGCCTCGCTACGAAGTAGTCAGCCACATTCTGGCCGTATCCAAGCTTCCAGCTGTCGTCCCGCATCAAACTCTTCGAACCAAACCTATATCATTAATTAAATATACATCATAAACCACTAAACTGTCTTGTCACTCCAAACTCGTATATGTAAACAAACGTTACAATTACCTTTATCAATTCACAGTATCTGCACATCCTATAATTATAATTATAGTCTGGTAGTTCTTCCATTTATTTCTTCCATTGTTGGTTCCAATTTTCTTGCACCATCCATGTTCTCCATATTGTCATGGCTTTTATAATTAGTCAAGATACAATTTTTTTCCCTTGTGAATAGATTTATTCGAGGTTTATCTTTGTTTACCTTACCACCCCCGTGCTTTCAAATTTATTTTCCCAAATGATACTTGTAGAAAACGTAACTTTTCATTAGCGCTTAAGCCGTTACTTTACAAAAATGTTTTTTAGTAATCATCTTGCTAGTGGTGTTTTAATTTCTTGAATTAGAGTCTATCTCTGAACCTCTTAGCTCCCTTCGTCTCACCGAGCGTCAAAAGAGTGGTCTGCTCTGGTATGTAGAGGTAGGTCTAAAAAAAAACCTAGCGTATTCGCCAGAGACTTGGCAAGACATGGGTGCGCTTAGCTCAGGCATCAACCGAAGTGACGCCAAACACGGCAGTTTTATTACATTACGCTTGATATTTCGTTAGTGTTAACGGTGCGACCGGAAATAAACGTAATCTTCTTTAGAGAGACTATTTTTTTAGTCCCCTGTAGTAACTTCAGTGCCGCTCAAATCAACCAAACCACATAGCAGGGAAGCTGGGATCACAGAAAATGGGAGAGGAGCTGGCGGGAGACAACCGGTCAGCTTGGTCCCGAGGAGCATGTAAATATTTGATAGTTGGCACGTGCTTTCTCCCTATTTGGGTTTTACCTGATCGGCCACTGGTATGGCCGTCGAGGCCACACTAGTGGCCTCGACGAGGACAGGAAGCCGGCGAGTTGTCAAAGGTCCCTTTATTTGTCCAGAGCCTCCAACCAGCGGTAGGAGGTTCCATGCGTTTGATGACCAAATCACACACCAAAAGATAAGGAGGCGACGACGTTTCGGTCCATCCTGGACCATTATCGAGTCGAATGTGATGGGACGAGTAGTTTCGATTCAGCTACTCGGAACAAAAAGTTCCAATTAGCACGGGCTATGGTGAGCCCGTAGTGAACTTACCTAACACAGGAATGGGGCTGTAACTGTGGTACTCTGGTATGCCTTCAAAACAAAATATCTTGCACCTTTTTGGGAGCGAGAGAGGCACGGGCGTAAGTATGACAAGAATGAGGTGAGGAGCAGGAGAGGTGGTAATTCCTCTCCTAGTTCTCCTAACTTGGTTAAGATAACTGCTACAACTTTCATGTTTTATATTTTCAATATTTTATGATTGGATACTTACATTAAATACATCAGCGGCCCACTTGTTGAAGGCTTGCTCCTGGCCGGCCAGTTCGTCTCCACAGGTGAGTCCTATCAACCTCTCTCCTCCGAGCTCTGACAGCAGGTTGTCTACATATTTGCCAAATGCACAAAAATTTGGGTAGGCGCTGGATCCAAGAGCAAACACTGCAAATCTATTTTAAAAGTTCTAATTAAAACTCGGAATACTTCAGAAGTATATTAAGAATTAATACTGTTGTCTATTATTATCAAGACATTAAAGCAAAACACAGCTTTTTGTAAGAGCTTAGAAAACCATGAATATTGAAGCTGTAAACAATGAAAAAAATGTCAACATCCTTAGACAAGAGGCAGTGACTAAACACAATGGACGGTAGTGGGGGAGGGATTTGGGGGTGGGGATTTTTTTTTTTTGGGGGGGGGGGGATTGGGGGGGGGGGGATTTGGGGGGGGGATTGGGGGGGTAGTGAGGGGGGGGGGGTAGTGGGTGGTAGTGAGGGGGGGGGTAGTGGGTGGTAGTGAGGGGGGGGGGGGTAGTGGGTGGTAGTGAGGGGGGGGTAGTGGGTGGTAGTGGGGGGGGATAGTGGGTGGTAGTGGGGGGGGGGTTGTGGGTGGTAGTGGGTGGTAGGGGGGGTAGTGGGGGGGGGTGGTAGTGGGGGGGTAGTGGGTGGTAGTGGGGGGGGGTAGTGGGTGGTGGTAGTGGGGGGGGGGGTAGTGGGTGGTAGTGAGGGGGTGGTAGTGGGGGGGGTAGTGGGTGGTAGTGGGGGGGGTAGTGGGTGGTAGTGGGGGGGGGGGGGTAGTGGGTGGTAGTGGGGGGGGGGGGGTAGTGGGTGGTAGTGGGGGGGGTAGTGGGTGGTAGTGGGGGGGGTAGTGGGTGGTAGGGGGGGGGGTAGTGGGGGGGGTAGTGGGGGGGTAGTGGGGGGGTAGTGGGGGGGGTAGTGGGGGGGGTAGTGGGGGGGGTAGTGGGGGGGGTAGTGGGGGGGGGGTAGTGGGGGGGGGTAGTGGGGGGGGGGGTAGGGGGGGGGTAGTGGGGGGGGTAGTGGGGGGGGTAGTGGGGGGGGTAGTGGGGGGGGTAGTGGGGGGGGTAGTAGGGGGGGGGGGTAGTAGGGGGGGGTAGTAGGGGGGGGGTAGTGGGGGGGTAGTGGGGGGGGGGGGGGGGTAGTGGGGGGGGTAGTGGGGGGGGGTAGTGGGGGGGTAGTGGGGGGGGTAGTGGGACGGGGGGTAGTGGAGGGGGTAGTAGGGGGGGTATTGGGGGGTAGTGGGTGGTAGTGGGGGGGGGGTAGTGGGGGTGGTTTAAGTTGTACCTGACGTTGCTGAGTGGTCCAAAGTTGTCTTCAGACATGATTTCAGAGGTAATAGAGCCACGAACATTGGAGTTAGCGACACCGTTCTCCTGGGTGGTGGTGGTTGTGGTGGTGGTGGTGGCTCCGGCTCCCTCCGTCAGGCTGTTCATCCTCATGAACGACAGACTTCGATGCATGCTGAAGAGACCCGGATAATGCTCAGCAGTGTACACGGGTATTGGTCACATCTTTATATAAGCCAGCTGCGGCGAGTACTATCACAGTTATACACATTATACTGCTGCTGAAGTACATCAGTACGAGGAAGGGTAAATTATGTGCAGGGGAGATGTGGAGGTAGACCCGAGTACCTCCGGGTATGTCATCTAGCATATTTGCGGAAGGTGGGAGTGCTGGTGGGAGTAGGGGGGGGGGTTGAAGAGTTAAGCCTGTGGGGGAGGGGGGGAGGAATGGGGAGAAGGTGAGGGGGGGAGGTGAGGGGTGAGGTGTGAGGAGATCTGAGCATCTGAATAAACATTTCAACAGTTAATAAAAAGTATTACACATTGTATGAATTTAACAAATGAAAAAAACTTGTACATTTGCTGATGAAGCATATGGCCTTAAACGGAAGCAGACGACATACAAAACAGTGTAAATAATTATATTGTGCTGAACATGTGCACGTGAGAATGAACAGTAAGCGAGGTGTGTGGGAACAACACTACGCCTCGCACTCATTAGGGAAGACAATATGTGAACACGTGTCGGTTTTACCGACACGTTTTACACGTGTCGGTAAAACGTTCTCTAACAATGGAATTGCCAGTACGGACTTGCACGGGGCCATGGTTCACTAGTACAAATTGGACAATTGGTAACTTAAGTGCTTATGACCTGTTCATAATTGATGTCAGAAACATGCGATAACGGCATGCAGTGCAAACCACCAAATGCAGTTTACAGTTCAAAACAATTCTCTTCCACAACCACAACTTAAAGTCACACAATCCACAACCCGGCCTGTTGCCTAATGCGCCTCACTTTGCCCCATATGGTCCCCCAACGTACAAAATAAGGGGCACTATGACAAAATAGCGGCTCACAAATATCCACGTGTTCTTGCATAGGTTGTGGTGAGGTTAGGTGGGGTAGCTTAGGTTCGTCCGTTGCAGAACCCCTTATGTTGCACGCTGTGGCAAATTAAGAGAACGGGCTGGACGGGCAACCCGTCACCTGGTGGTTAGAACACGTGTCAACATCACCAACCACCTTACAAGTGCTCGCAGGTTACAGAACAGTGTCAGAAATGCAATATGGCTTGTTGCAAGCATGCACGCAACTCTGAAAAGTAAATATTAGACAGGAAGCCGTGGTCACGTGCAGCTGCTGAAGACCAAAATGTTCAACATTAAAAGGAAAAGTGTCATGCACATGCAAAAATTATGAAACGGCCTCACGACCCACAATTGTGTATAATATTATATATATATATATATATATATATATATATATATATATATATATATATATATATATATATATATATAACGAGAACCTTTTATATGAACGAGAGCATCTCAAGCAGTACTTGGCTCTTTATGAAAATTATGAGACTCCCGGCACTGTACATAAAAATAATTTCGGACAATTTGAAATCTGTATTCCCGAATGTCGAAATTACACTCGTGTGCAATTTGAACACGAGTGTTCATGTGCATGATGGTGACCAACTACGCAGGAGAACGTTATTTTTCAAGAGTACGAAAATATCTGCTTCGTAGCACAATGGAGCAGTTGACCAAACCACACACTAGAAAGTGAAAGGACAACGACGACGATGTTTCGGTCCGTCCTGGACCATTCTCAAGTCGACTGTGACTGCCACAATCGACTTGATAATGGTCCATGACGGACCGAAACGTCGTCGTCCCTTCACTTTCTAGTGTGTGGTTTGGTCAACATTTTCCAGCCACGTTACTGTGACTCCTTGCCTGCATAATAGGGCAGCATCGTTTGAAATATGTTTCACTCATGGAAAATGACATCCTGAAGACCATTGACTTCATACTAGCCCACATAGTCTTCATTGGTATTATGGTCTTCGTATTAGATCACAGACTTATTTATTATGCACCCCATACCCATCTTCTGGGCGGTAGTGGAAAGGGTTACAGAGGCACATAATGTAACCCTTTCCACTACCGCCCACACGATGGGTATAGGGTGCATAATAAATAAGTCTAATGTGATCTAATACGAAGACTATCTGAAGTCAATGGTCTTCATTAGACTTCAAGCCAATAATACAGCAATTCTTTGGTAAGAATGCAGCAAATGCTTGTTATATTAAATAGTTCGTAGTATTTTCATACTGTGTCATCTAATGTGTTGCTTACCGAGTATTACTGTGTTTTACAAGCCTTGTTTATTGTTCAAATGTTTATCATGTTGATTAGTTGCTGCTCTACACCATGTTGTTAATGTTTTAACACCTGTCTTGTTGAAGAGCCAATACCATAAATATGTTTATTATTATCGACCAATTACTTTTTATTCCTGTGAGTGGTTGTCATATGTCCCCCAGCACCCTAGTTTGCCCAGGGGACCCCCCCAGCACCCTAGTTTGCCCAGGGGACCCCCCCAGCACACTGGTTTGCCCAGGGGACCCCCCCAGCAAAATGGTTTGCCCAGGGGACCCCCCCAGCAAAATGGTTTGCCCAGGGGACCCCCCCAGCACACTGGTTTGCCCAGGGGACCCCCCCAGCACACTGGTTTGCCCAGGGGACCCCCCCAGCACACTGGTTTGCCCAGGGGACCCCCCCAGCACACTGGTTTGCCCAGGGGACCCCCCCAGCACACTGGGGACCCCCCCAGCACACTGGTTTGCCCAGGGGACCCCCCCAGCACACTGGTTTGCCCAGGGGACCCCCCCAGCACACTGGGGACCCCCCCAGCACACTGGTTTGCCCAGGGGGCCCCCCAGCACACTGGGGACCCCCCTGGCTCTTATTAATCATGCTAGTTTTTGTCTCTAATTTGTTGTTTTCATTAACTGCATTATCCTTCACATACAAGAGGTTTTTCCGGCCTGAATGAAGGTTCCTAAATTATTTAAGGCCAACTATACATTATAATCCCTTTAGCGTGATTTCTGTGCCGTTCAGAAGAGATTTCCAGAAGAGCGAGTTCTGGAACCATTTGGGTTCTGTCGAGTATCCCCCGTGTTATGTGGGTGTAACCATGCGTTTCTTGACCGCGTGCGTCCCCCCTCTCCCCTCTTAAGCAGCTACAAACAGGAGTGGCCTTCCGACTCACCTTTTGCGTGCAGAGTAGTCCTGCCAATATGATGCACTAACAGGAGATAAGCAAAAAAACAAAAAAGCACAATGAATTCTACTGCAAGAAATGTAAGCATAGAGTACTGAGGCCTAAGAGTTAGTATAATGCCAACCCTTTCCTCACAATAATCTAAAGTATAACATGCCATATTTATATATATATATATATATATATATATATATATATATATATATATATATATATATATATATATATATATATATATATATATATATATAATTAGTTAATTGATGTTCTCATTCAAGCTAATATTCAAATTATACATATAAAATGCATTTAGTATTCAAGTCACGGGCGAAGTAAACCTAGGTAATTAAACTATCTTCTATTATGTAAAAATATGTCGAGCGTAAGTTAGATATCCTGAACCCACTTTAAATAGTTTCAGGGACCTGAAACTTTCGACCTTTTTGTAACAAAATTCCCAGAATACAAGCCACTCTTTAGTCTGAAATGCCATGTATCACATCTAAAAGTAAGTAACCAAGATGTTCATTCAATTTAAATTATGCAAACTCAAATGTGTTAGTATTAGATAAAGAAAAGCTACGAATCTTTACGGCCAAGCAAAACGTTATGGAAACTGTGTATAGGAGCTGCATCAGAAGTTATAATGTTAAACTCAGTTCTGTTTGTATTCCATATCAAATTGATCATAATTATGAATATTACTCCAAGTTAGGATGTTTTGGGTTGATTTTTGTCTGTCATTACGAGTGGTGGAGTACAAGAGGCGCGCGCGCACACCACTTCAACACTTGTGAAATTATTAACAGCTGAAATAACAAAAATTAAAATAATTCGTAATAAAGCTGGTAATAAACCCCCGAGCTTAACAAAGGCTTCTATAATGCAGATCTGTTATACACAAAAATATACTTAACCTGCTAAGCTTAAACTATTAACTTTAAATAGACACGAAAACACTTATATTGCACAAATCAAATTATTTGAAATATTTATAATGCAAACAATATAGCATAAAATCCAGCAGATGCACCGCACAAAATAATGATAGCAATTTGTTTATTTAAAAAAAATAGGGGGCCAATTTATAAAATGTTCCTAATGCAAAGGTACTTAATTAACATGTTACTAAATTTATGCAAATATATATCAAAACCAGGCAGTTGTTTTTCGAGTATGTGAGGACAAATTTGATTACTATATATATTGAATCCATTTTTGACGAAAATACATAATACTGTACATGTCTTGCCTCTGTTACCTTTCACACACACGTTATGAAACTAAAGTTAAAAATAACGAAACTGTTTTCTAATGGTCCCAAATAACTGAGCTCTTGTTACTAGTAACTCTTGTTTCCAGCAAGCCTTTGCCGATCACACCAGGCCTGTGATAGCCATCCGTCGACAGCCAGGACCAGAGCCTGAAAGAAGAGGCGTCTCAGGTCACCCGAGGTCTCATGGAAGCTGCCCTCCTCCCTCGAGAGCTGCCCGTGCCAATCTCCTCAACAACACGGGAAGGAGGGAACAGAGGACCTGGGATGTGAGAATGAGGGGGTGATGAGTGTACATAACACTCTGCACAGCCACCACAAGACAGCGCCCAGAACGCACAAAAACACCTGGAGGGAAAGATGGACACATTCCCTTCCAAAGGAAAAATCAAAACCCTGAATTGAAAAGACACCAACGGGAATCGACACAAATTTCATTTTTTTGTTTTTAATTATTATTTTTACCATAAACATGGCCAAATATTTACAATGCTAACCAGCATGTATACATTTTCTTCTGCCCTCCATGGACAGGATTAGAGTTCTATTAAACTATATTCTATATATCGCTGGATTATTGTTAACATTGCCTCTTCTCCAGCTACACTTTAAGTGACATGTGTAACCTTGGTTTTGGTCAACTATTTATTATTCGAGCCGGTCCGTTACCCCCCGAAAAAACGGGAGTACCGGACCGGCTCTAAGCTGGAACACGACTGCCGAAACGCGGGATGATGTCGCCAAACATATCCGCCCTCAATAAAACCGCGAAACCCCACATCTGAGGAGCGGAAAGAGCGTGGTAATGAGCAGGAGGATGAGGGAGAAATGCAAAGGAGAGAATTCCGCATCAACGATGCAAACAACTGAGATTGGTAACCACGACCTCACAAGCAGTAAAATTCGAAGACCAGAAGAGCCCACAAAAGTTACAAATCTGATAACTTGCCCGGATAGGACGTCCTGCACCGCGCCAGAATGGAGAACCTCCGTCAATCGGGTGCCAACAACGCCGAAGGCAACTGGCGCACTGGAGTATGGAGCTACCAAGCCCTGCCCCTTGAGGCAGGGCAAGAGCAAATAGTAAATTGTCAGTCACGTAGACATTTTCCATGAAAAAAAAGAGGCTCTTAAAGGCGAGACAACTTCTGCCAGGCAAGCACTTAGATGGAAAAATAACTTTTCTGCTAGGCAGGACGCAACCAAAACTTCATACCACAGGCAGGAAGCTAAAGACGACCCAAACCACTGATTCAGTCGAGACGCATAATCACATCTCTAAAGGGGGAAATGAAGTAAGTTCTTTTGAGACAAACTCTGAAATACTAAAGGGCATAACTCTGTATTATGGAGTTATTTCGTGGAGAATTCGCCACCTCCAACTCCGGAGGTGGTGAATTCTAGCCACGAAACAGACAACGGGTTGGATTATTTTACATTTTTATCCAAGTCTCTTAATTATCCTCAGAAAATTGTAAGGCTCTTAACATCGACGCCGGTGGCTGCTAGGCGTTGCGCTAGCGTGTAATGCAAGGCATGCTCATGCAACTAGGCTGGAATACGATAGCCCACAAGCCAAAAGGGCGGTTCGACAACATTGATCCAACGCCAATAAACGCACACAAGGGTGTGAAAGAACTTATCTCGCAGGCGGAATGAAGGCGGCAACAGGGAAAACCATCGAGGTTCAAACACATCTCAACCCGTTAAGATGACAACAACAGAGACAGACTTTGAATAGGAAAGCAGGTTGGGTAAATCGGCAGACGTCTCTGGCACAACAGAAATATCGTTGGCAAATCGCATATCTAACCGACCAACGGTCTACGAGGAGAGGGGTACGAAGCCACAGACATGGAACAACCGCTTTTCGCTACCCAGGTGGGTAACGAAAATTTGTACCCCACCAATAAACACTTAAAATAAACATGGCTGATGGCCAGGCGCAACACACTAGAACTCTCAACGTCATCAATTTCCTCATCAAAAGGGGCCGACTCTGAGGAGCAACTAACCCTTCAGCGACGATAATCTTTGGTGGAGAAAATACAACAAGCCAGCCACCATAGTAGTAAACCCTGGCCCAAGGCGGGACCAAAATATAGGACAGGCAACATGTAATGTGGAGGTTTATTAATAACAAGCTTAAAACTTGACTGAGGAGGAGAGGGGGGGGGAGGCACAACACAAAGCCCGGGAAAAACCAGCACTACTTAGCATCGCCAGGGCCCCCAGAAGCAGCACCAGTGCCCCCCCCCCCCACAGCAGCGCCAGGCCCCCCCCCACAGCAGCGCCAGGCCCCCCCCCACAGCAGCGCCAGGGCCCCCCCCAGCAGCAGCGCCAGGGCCCCCCCCCCAGCAGCAGCAGCGCCAGGGCCCCCCCCCAGCAGCAGCGCCAGGGCCCTCCCCCCCAGCAGCAGCACCAGGGCCCTCCCCCCCAGCAGCGCCAGGGCCGCCCCCCCCCAGCAGCGCCAGGGCCGCCCCCCAGCAGCGCCAGGCCGCCCCCCAGCAGCGCCTGGCCCCCAGCAGCGCCAGGGCCCCAACTGTGAGGTGGACGCTGACATCAGTTCGGGCTCTCCCCCACCGGGAACAGCCTGTTTCCTTTTTTCCTTTAATGTTAATTTCGTTCTATAAAGTAGTTTCTGTCGATTCGCGTATTTTCAGTTTCGTTTTCTCAGCTTATGGAAAATAGCAGATGTCAGTATGGTGATGCAGTGTCTTCACTGTACCACTTGTTCATTCAGGCTGGATCTTTACATTTTAAAACAATGCTAAGAATGAGACCTGAAATGAACAACATTGCTATACGCATTTTTTATTTATTTAAAGTTGCTCAATAATTCATCCTCTGCAAACAAGTTGTTAGGTCTTGTATTTTAATTCACAATATTAAATTATACGCAATGCCCTTCACAGTGCTCCGCTGGCAGAAGACAAACCACTACGTCGAATGACTTTATATATTAATGTGAAATAACTCTTAACTCACGTCTATGTTTAATGCATCAATGCCTAAGAGCTTACTTGAGAATCAGTATAATGCAACTGTAGTGAAAATCTTCTAAATGTACGGAAAATGAAGAACATCTGCCAGCAGAACTAGTAGTGATAGTGTTGTAGACGAGGCAGACTCAGCAGCACTGATCACAAGTACTTACCTGCTGGTAACATCATCGATGTCTGCCGCCGTGCCGCTCACCTTCATGGCGTACAGGTTCTTTGCGAAGTCCTGCAAGACAATGATTATAACAATATCACGGTGGTTCAAAGTATTAAAGTAAAAACTATATTAAACATTAAACTGCATCAGCACACTGCAAAGAGCAAAGCTTGCGGCAAAGTTGAACACTTCAAACAACAGCAACACTGAACCGAGCAGATTTCCCACGTAAATTTATGCCTTATGTACAAGGCATAAAGAGCCCGTATGCCTTGCCTTATACTCTGGCCTCTTTAATACGACCAGTGACAATTTTGTCATCTGGTGAGCAACGCAAATATTCCAATAATCGGGTTTACAATATCAACAAATATTCACAATAAATCTAGCACATTTGTTATATTTGGCAAGTGGCGGATCTAGTGGGGCTAACTTTTCAAAAGTTCCTACAATTTATGAACTTTTCAATCAGTACAATAAGTAAGTGGCCCGCTGTAAAGGTATACCTGACCATATACAGGACATGAATTTTGTAAAACGTATTTTCATATGAACAACGAGCAATGATGTGAAATGTCAACAATAATGAACTGGAAAAGAAAAATGAAAATCAAGAGCCGAAACATGTATTGATAAAAAAAATGCGACAGCTGTAAGGATTGCATGCATCTTACCTCCACAAACACATGACTGCATGCAACAAAGCAAATATCACAGGTTAAGGAAAATCACGTGACAATCTTACCAGATTCGATAACTCTGCTAGAATGGAACTTGTGCATACATATTCTTGCAAATGAGTTAACAAAATTGCAATATTAAAAACTAAACTCTAAAGCTACCACATCAAATAATAATTGCAAGAGGTTCTGTTGCTCCCCCTGGGATGATATAGCTCTAAGCTCCAGAGGTTCTGGAGCCACGGGTCGTCTCCCCCCCCCCCCCCAATAAATGATAATACACAAACTTAAATTAACTTTTACCTTTTTATTCTTGTACTTGTACTTGAAGAACAGTTTCGTGGAGAACCCCTAGAGGGAGAGGGTAAACAAGGCATCAACAACAATCGTGCACTACTCATACTATTAAACTAGAAAATAAAAAAATACATATTAAAATAAATTTTGCATCATGCTGAAATTAGGAACAAGTTACACTTGTATGAGAAACTTCACAATTTATGAATGTGGTTTTCATGTCCACCACCTAACAAAGATTTCCTACTATGACGACTTGGTCGACAATTCAGAGAGTGAATTTCAAAATCACCGTCGTCGAGAGAACGTAACAATTTGTATGTTAAACAATTTGTGCACAAAACTACAAAACTCCTGGAACAAATCAATTTAATTATGAATCTAAAAATTTAACAAGTTAATATTTTTCAAAGATTTCAAATGGAGAGCTCTGGTTGTTAATTAGGCACTTTGTTCACATTTTATAACATTGTTCAAACAATAATGTTCCATGATAAAGATTAAATTACATTGAACATTCATCCATCAACCAATAAATGGTTTAATTTCCCCTTTACATGTCTCAATAACCTAACTTTATATACATTTGTTTGATCTTTACTTCTTGGATCATATTAACAGCTTAAATTATGGAGCCAATAGCTTCCTGACCACCGGAATGGTATACTAGTTAATGGCCAGGAATGTTCTCTCGTGGAATCATCTATGCAATTTGCATGTCCGCACAGTCAGAGAGATCTGACAAAGAAGTTCTGACATTCAATCCGCTACTACAATCACCATGGCTGTCTTGCATTCAATCCTCCTGGAGTTTCATTCACATCAGAACAATTCCATTACCTTCTCTCAACATACTCAACACGAACACACACACAATTATATCTCGGCAACATTTATGAAAGTTAATGGCACTGACGTTTAGTTCTATTCCATAAGTAATAGTATTAGGTCTAAGAACCTAATTATTAGGTTCCCTGAAGAGAACCTGAGAACAATCATGCGAGTAGTAGACGCGTTGGGACAATAAATGTCCTGCCTACCAGATCCTTTCTATTTGGGATCGACTGTTTGTTAGCCATGATCGCCTTTAAGTTTACCACCACCACGTTACCCGCTCGAGTGATAGGGACGCATCAACCAGGAGGAAACACCAGTACTGGTTAACTTGAGGTTATCTTGAGATGATTTCGGGGCTTTTTAGTGTCCCCGCGGCCCGGTCCTCGACCAGGCCTCTACCCCCAGGAAGCAGCCCGTGACAGCTGACTAACACCCAGGTACCTATTTTACTGCTAGGTAACAGGGGCATAGGGTGAAAGAAACTCTGCCCAATGTTTCTCGCCGGCGCCTGGGATCGAACCCAGGACCACAGGATCACAAGTCCAGCGTGCTGTCCGCTCGGCCGACCGGCTCCCTCTGGGACAGAAGTAAAAAGCCATTTTACACACACAAAAATGAAACCCTTCCATTCACCATGTGTTACACGCAACATTTTCCACGAGACTCGCCAGCACGCGCGGCCCTCCGCCACACCCACCATCTTGTGTGACGGGGCACAGTGCGCCTCGTCCACCACTCCTGCTCCCACCACCACCTACTGACTAACAAGCACAACCAGCAACTGCGCGCACCTAGGTCCTTGCCCAACACTAAGCGGTGTTCATGCTCTCTACACACCTCCTCATGACTCAATGTCTGCCCCCCATCTTCTCATCCTCCTCATTTTCTTTTCCTTAAATTCATTCTAATACTCATCAGTTTACCATTCATCCTTTCAACACAGTTCAGTGACTTTTGCATTCTATAGTTTCCACGAAGGTAGCCGCACCACTCCATGCTTTCCTGTCGTGGTGTCTGGCTTGTTTGGGGGGAAAAGTAATTATCAACAGAAGGCCGGGAAGACACTGTGGATGTAAGGTGGGGGAAAGGGGGGGATGAAGGGTGTGAAGGGGGGGGGGGGAGAAGGGGGGTGAGGGGGGGGGGGGAAGGGGGTGTGAGAGGGGGGGGGGGGAGAAGGGGGTGTGAAGGGGGGGCGGGGGGAGAAGGGGGTGTGGGGGGGGGGGGAGGGGGAGAAGGGGGGGGGGTGTGAAGGGGGGGGGGGGGGGGGAAGAGGGGGAGGGGGGGTGAGGGGGGGGGAGGAAGGGGGGTGAGGGGGAGGGGGGTGAAGAGGGGGAGGGGGGTGAAGGGGGAGGGGGGTGAAGGGGAGGGGGGTGAAGAGGGGGAGGGGGGTGAAGAGGGGGAGGGGGGTGGGGAGAGAGAGGGGAGGGGGGTGAAGAGGGGAGGGGGGGAGGGGGGTGAAGGGGGGAAGAGGGGGGGTGAAGAGGGGGAGGGGGGGGGGGGTGAAGAGGGGGAGACGGGGAGAGAAGTTGCCTGACATTACACAAGTTGATGGGCGCCACCTGTGTCACACCAGAGCTTAGCTACAGAGTCAAGTTTCTTTAAATTATTACGTTCCATCTCCAGCCAGTTTTTACATAGAACACAAAACTTAATACATCCATGTAAGTTGTCATTCACACTTTCGTGGAAATAAACATTCCATTTACCTGGGCTCTAGAAGACTCGAACCCTGGACCCCACGCGTGTGTGAGGCCGTAGCTCTATCGAGTCTCTTAGAGCCCAGATGAACGGAATTAACAGATCTATTTTAACTTCAAATCTATTTAGCATGCAGACCAAGTCTTAAGTAATGTAGTCTTGCTGAGGCAACAACTAAAAAGGTCGACAGTGCAAGAGCCTATCATACTACTTAATCGTGTTGCAAGTATGGGCTCAACACACAAGTATTATTGACATTCAACAACATTATCATGCATAATCAAGCACAGAAATGTAAAACTACGACCATACTTACAGTGTGCGGGTCTTGGAGAAATACCGACTCTCATTGTAATGATTCCCATTGTTGGGGTCAAGAGGCCTGTATGTGGCTTATCAAGGCCTCTCTAAGGCCTACGTTAGCCAATGACTGACTGACCTTCCGGATGCAACCTACCACAGTTGACGACCCACTCCCGAGCACATATTTACTACTTAGGGAATCGAACGCGGATCCTTTAGTGTGAACCGAGACGACTACTGCGCTAACGGACCCCAATGAACCAAACTGAATTCAAGTTACTTACAATCATGTACACCTTCTAAAAGTCAAGTTCAATGCAAGATGCTACACGGCAAACAACAGTACCCTTGCTCCAACTTATCAACGGAAGATAACCTCCTTTTCCATACACCTTTCACCTCAAGATATTTCGTGCATACACATCCATAACTAGACACCTACGTCATTAGTAATAATTATTTCTTAGCTTTTATTTTGTCTTGTATGGATCACCAATAGCACAGGTAAACTATTGTAGGCACTGCACTAACAGAAGATTGTGAACCTTTTAGAATCAATGTTTTCTCCAACCAAATATTAGATATTCAAGAGTTTGGGAAAACTAGCAACACACACAGCTAGTTTAGTGACTTCTTGCCGCCTCCGACCCCGATGAAGGTCCAGTGAAGGTTGACCACACTGGACCATTCAAGGTCATTCAGTCAATGATGCACAGTTCTCAACTAGGCATACAATATATGGACATACAATGCTTTACTGGCATATAAACGATAAAAGTACCAATCGTTTGAAGAAATGTTTGAGTAATTTTAAGAGAAACATGTGCAGGCATCACAATCTATAAACTGATTTAAAAACAAAGTTTATTAAAAAAATATTTAATGTAATGTTTATTATTATACAAACAAGAAAATGTGTTTCTTAACTTGTTATATTCGATAAACTACTACCACCATAAACGCCAACCCCACACTACCTAGGTTACTTGCCGGTTGAGGCGAAGAACAGTCTGGCCCTCACATTATTCTCCTGTCAAACTTAATACCACTCATTAACTAGTGCAACTAATCCAGACTTGGTGTTTGGGCTAATCAACATCCCCCCCCCCCACAGCCAGACGAGACCCAGACACACTTCAAGATGTTACACGACCGAAGACCACATTCACTCCAAACATCTACCACCTACAGGCTATTCATGCCCGCGCCACCTCTTGTGGTGGCGTAATCTTCATCAACAACAACAATAGCCAACCTCGCCATTCTCTGGGGGATCGCCATTGCCGAATGTGGACGTCACCACAAGAACCAACGCCTCGTGTTCAATGTTGATTAAATCGTAGTCTGCCATGCAGTAAACCTGTGCATAAAGAAAATAAGTAAGTTCACAAGTTTAAATGAACAAATCCACAAAGGCCGTGACGAGGGTTTGAACCTTATGGATTTGTTTATTTGACGCATACGCTATTGTGATTTCTGGGTGTAGTGTAATGTTCACAAGTTTGTTTACTGTATGAGAGCAAACTATTAAACCTGTTATAATTATGTTCTGCTCTGCTACATATGCCCGACGGCTATTGCCTATATTATATAACAGACCAACCTAAAATTATTTTGCTCCAGCACCCTTTCGTCTACGGTAAAGCCTTAAACTTCAGAATGGAAAGAAGGCATGGAAAGCCAAACAAAGAAGAGGTCTTGCACGCAGACTTGCACGCAGACTTGCACACAGACTTGCACACAGACTTGCACACAGACTTGCACACAGACTTGCACACAGACTTGCACACAGACTTGCACACAGACTTGCACACAGACTTGCACACAGACTTGCACACAGACTTGCACACAGACTTGCACACAGACTTGCACACAGACTTGCACACAGACTTGCACACAGACTTGCACACAGACTTGCACACAGACTTGCACACAGACTTGCACACAGACTTGCACACAGACTTGCACACAGACTTGCACACAGACTTGCACACAGACTTGCACACAGACTTGCACACAGACTTGCACACAGACTTGCACACAGACTTGCACACAGACTTGCACACAGACTTGCACACAGACTTGCACACAGACTTGCACACAGACTTGCACACAGACTTGCACACAGACTTGCACACAGACTTGCACACAGACTTGCACACAGACTTGCACACAGACTTGCACACAGACTTGCACACAGACTTGCACACAGACTTGCACACAGACTTGCACACAGACTTGCACACAGACTTGCACACAGACTTGCACACAGACTTGCACACAGACTTGCACACAGACTTGCACACAGACTTGCACACAGACTTGCACACAGACTTGCACACAGACTTGCACAGACTTACACACAGACTTACACACAGTTTTAGTACTGACCTGAGCATTGAAGGTGTGACCAAAGATCTCCCCGAGTTTCTTGGCGTACATCTCAGACTTGCCGGTCTCCGTCGCATAGAGGATAGTGGCCTTGATCCTCTTGGATAACGCTTTCCCGAATAATTTGCTGGTGAACTTGACGGCTCTGTGGAACCATAATGTACAAGATGAGACAATATGTTAACCTATATATTGATACTAGAGCCTAGTATATGTTGAAAAGAGCCTAGATAAACACTAATTCTTCCCGGAACCCTCCGCATGATTAGTAGAGTGATACAAAGTATTTTAAACAATGTAAACATCTTAATATACAAGTATAGTTTATAGGGATACACTATTTAATATCATTATTATTAAAACAAACAACGAGTTAAGTAGCATTGATACTGGCGGCATAACAGCACCGAAACACACTGGTTTGATGTTGGGCTTAAAACCTACTGTGTTAACCCTTGGGGGGAAGGGGTTACTCTAAGCTTCTGTAACAGCTTACCCACCATCCAGCAGCTCAGTATATACGCAGTATACGCAGCTCACCACGGAAGTCAACTCAGCGTAAATTCACCAAGAAGTGGTGTTATGATTAGCTTATATATAAAAAACATCTCGCATATCAATACAAAGTAATATGTATTTATTTTTATATATTATAATAGAATTATTATTTAGTTTAGCTATAAGGGTACATTCATTTCCCTCCGGAGCTCCGTCTGTCAAGCCATTATTCTTAGTTTCACCCAGAGCAGGAAATTTATAGCTCATCCTAAATCCTGATCCCTTCCAAGTGTTATATAGTTGTAATGGCTTGGCGCTATCCCCTGATACTTCCCTTCACCTTACCCAATATGTAATATACATGTAATCGTGTTGAGCTGGTGTGCACAGCACATGCAGCACCGCTCCTGTGCCAGGTAAGTTACGGACTCGCCATAGCCTGTGCTACTTGGAACTGGTTCCGAGTAGCTGAATCTATAAAAAACAACAACAGCTGGTGTGGTTCTGCCAAAATGTCACAGAAAAGTCACTACTTCACAATCTCCTGGAATGTGAAGCAACCAACGACCTTAGAAGAGCTTTCAGAGTCCCTGAATCTTGCAGTAACCACTCTGAAGCCATCAACACTGCCACTCTTCTGGTCAAAACAGGTGTCCAGCAGCTGGACACCCTCATAAATACTGTCAAGCAGTATCCTCCCCAGCGGCAGCAGCCTGCCGATTAAGTGCGACCTCAGAACACTGAATATATTTACTGAACAAAACATTGTACCACTTACGGGCGATTCATGCCCATACCACCTCTTGGGTGGCTTAATCTTTATCAATTATCAGGCCAGGATGATGGACTGCGCGCCATCATCCTGGTGTGGCGCGCAGGCCTTCATGCTTGGCTTTCACCCTCTGGCATTAAAGGAACACACTGGCAAACATACTGGCCCAGATCAAGCCAGTTTTGCCTAGTCTAGGTAGATCTTACTGAAATGCAACTATATAATTGTCACGCATCTATCCTATTTTTAAGACTTACGAAATTGGTATCGTCATTAATGTCAGCTTACACACTTTGTTAATGGTCCGGCGACGCCGTGTCTCCTGGCATCCCTTGGCCTCATCCCTCGTACTGTCTCCACTTTCATCTTAATATCATCCATTTTCCCTCTCCAAATATATCTTAAGCTTTTGTTATTGTTTTAATTTTGGACTTTTACATCCCCCGAAACGGGGGGGATATACCAGATATACTACATTTAGGGCGGAACCACACTCCCTAAAGTGCGCATTTTTCCCCTCTTGTAAAGTCTTACCTTCCATACCTCTGCTTCGTCACTGTCTACCTCTTAGCCTTCAGAGCTCAAGTCTCACCTTGCTATCTCTTTGAAACGGAACTTGCGTTTCGTTTTTCGAACGGAGTTTCTGTTGACATCTTTGCTCTTCTTCCAGACATGGACCTTCCAAGCCGGGTTCTGGTACTCGTAGGAGGGTTTGAGGTAGTAGAGGCACATCTCCTGGTGGAACACCGGGGTGATGGAGCCAGACAGGGGCGGCACGATCCACACCCAGTCTGAAGGGCAGCCGCCCCTCAACTTCTGCTCGTTTTCGAAGTGTTTCATGAAGGATTCCGCTGCCGAGTGGTGATCCATGATGGTCACGTTCATCCTCTGGAAGGAGGCCACATTTCAGTAAAGTGAAATTACGCAAGCACTGTACAAATCATACAATTGTTTTATCGTGCACACACGTCAAGCGTCCAGGCAAGTGAAGGCCTTCATCCATTTTTTTTTTTGCGTGACTAACCTCCAGTAACTAATATTAAAGAATTAATGCTTTAACATTAAAATATCGTTTAATAAAACAAACGAAACAAAAAGTTATGCTGAAAGTCTTAGTCTTTAAGCCAAGCTTTAATACACGCCACAAACGCAGGCACTTGCAGCTAAAGTCTGCCACAGATCACAGTCATGGACCACCGGTAAAGAACTTCTGTAGTATTATATAGAGCCCAGAAAAAAGCTGAAAACTTAAAATATACCTTAAAGGGGGGAGGAGAGAGGGAAAAGGTGGGAGGAAAGGGATGAGGGGCAAGGGGGTGAGGGAGGGGAAATGGGGGGCAAAAGAGGGTGGAAGGGGGGGGGGGAAGGACAGAGGTAAATGTCAGTGGATGTCTCACCACCAAACAACAGGTCCATCAACAGCGTGGTAATAGAAGATTACTCATGACAGAACATGATCTATTTGCTGACCACATTACGTCTACACAAATTCGTATATTTATAATGTTTTAAAATTGTGGCAAACGTTTCGTGTGACATTTGAATGCTTCAAAGTAAAGGTTATTACAAATGATAAAGTTTAGGAATTCAAACAACAACAACAACATTAAATACAAATTAGACTTTGTCAATAGAAAGATTATGGTGGTGCGAACAATGCAAGCTGCAGAGTTGAAGAGAAGCAATTGTCAACTCTTGTTTTGATTGTAAACTATATTCCACTGAACTGTGTAATTTGATACGCACAGGTTTACTAATCGATTAGATAAAAAGTATTTTGGTTCGTTTGGCCGAAACTTTTGCCTTTAAATTTAAAGCCACTGTTTCTGGCGCTGTTAAAATTCAGCGTAGAAAATGCAAAACTATAGTATTCTCGTCCTTTAAACAAGACGCAATGGAGATTTAATGACTTTAAAATCTAAGAGAGACTTTCCTGAATCACCACTTATTCTTACCCTTTCAAGACAGTAAATTTAATCTTTGCAAACGGGCTTTGTACAATTTATTTTGTTTAAGTATTGTTATCTTTGCTGCCCGATGGAGAACACCTTATTTAGCAAAAGCCTTTCTGTAGCGTAACTGTAGCAAGTAACGCAATACTACGGGTCACCACCTAATATCAAGTCTCATTTTGACGTACACTATCGTACTAGAAACTTCCGTACCAAGAAACAATCGTACTAGAAAATCGTAGCGGTTTGCGAAATTAACTATGATCTGTTTTCTGTTTGTGGGTACTCTGGTAGGTTAGCATAAGGCACTTTAGTGCCACAGTTTCAATTATACAAACTATTGGGAAAATACTGGTTATGCAACACTGATAAACAAAAATGAGTTCCCAGCTACAGAAACGAATAGGCACACCTCTGAACTTACTCATGACACCAGTAACCCCACTCATGTTAGTGGCGGTTACTCACCATATTAAGCTTTACTTCGTAACATAATATATTCTGCTGTATTCTCTATTTTGCATTAATCGTCAAAGATTTAACCATTTTTTATTACATTCCACTTGGGCTTGAAGGATATTTTCCAATCGCCTGTTTCGCAGTGGCACAAACCAAACAATAGATTACTCAAACACGAGATACAATACAAGTAGTCAACACGTCACATGCCTGGGATGTAATGTGACACGTCACATGCCTGGGATGTAATGTGACACGTCACATGCCTGGGATGTAATGTGACACGTCACATGCCTGGGATGTAATGTGACACGTCACATGCCTGGGATGTAATGTGACACGTCACATGCCTGGGATGTAATGTGACACGTCACATGCCTGGGATGTAATGTGACACGTCACATGCCTGGGATGTAATGTGACACGTCACATGCCTGGGATGTAATGTGACACGTCGCATGCCTGGGATGTAATGTGACACGTCGCATGCCTGGGATGTAATGTGACACGTCACATGCCTGGGATGTAATGTGACACGTCACATGCCTGGATGTAATGTGACACGTCACTTGCCTGGGATGTAATGTGACACGTCACATGCCTGGGATGTAATGTGACACGTCACATGCCTGGGATGTAATGTGACACGTCACATGCCTGGGATGTAATGTGACACGTCACATGCCTGGGATGTAATGTGACACGTCACATGCCTGGGATGTAATGTGACACGTCACATGCCTGGGATGTAATGTGACACGTCACATGCCTGGGATGTAATGTGACACGTCACCACTGACCTGGAATGAGTGGAGGACGGCGATGTTGACCTCCACCAGGGCCTTGTCCTTCCACAGGTTGGTGGGGCTGCGTGTGTCCAGGCCCATCTGGCGACCCACCCGCTGTTAAGGCACAGGAAACACTTTCACACACAAGAATATCTAAAACGTTGAGTTGAATTTACAGCGTCACCTCTTTGCCTCAAAATAAATTATTTCATCGATATGTCATGCATTCTGACATACATAAACACACACACACACGCACATTTATATATATAATATATATAATATATATACATACATATATACATACACATACATACATACACAAAATCAGTTGATTGACAGTTGAGAGGCACGCCCAGAGAGCGTGAGCTCAACCTCCGCAAAGCACAACTAGGCGAGAACGAACACACACACACACACACACACACACACACACACACACACACACACACACACACACACACACACACCCATCTGACAATCTCACCTTGGATATTATAAGGAGCAGCAGAGGCACTAAGTGTGCCCCACCCTATGGTGTGTAACAGATCACTGGAAACAGGAGACCTACCGGAAAGCTGGAAGACAGCTAATGTAGTCCCGATATACAAAAAGGGTGACAGGCAAGATGCACTGAACTATGGGCCAGTTTCCCTAACGTGTATACCATGCAAGGTGATGGAGAAGATGGTGAGGAAAAGGCTCGTAGAACATCTGGAGGGAAATAGTTTTGTAACACCACCAGCATGGGTTCAGAGATGGTAAATCGTGCCTCACAGGTTTAATAGAATTCTATGACCAAGCAACACAAATTAGGCAAGAAAGAGGATGGGCAGACTGCATTTTCTTGGACTGTCAGAAAGCGTTTGCCACAGTACCTCACAAAAGGCTGTTACAAAAGTTGGAGCAACAGGCAGGAGTAAAAGGTAAGGTGCTCCAGTGGATCAGGGAGTATCTAAGCAACAGGAAACAGCGAATAACTGAGAAGAGGAGACATCAGAGTGGCGAGACGTCACCAGCGGAGCCCCACAGGGCTCTGTACTTGGACCCATCCTGTTTTTAATATATATGTAAACGACCTTCCAGAAAGCATAGACTCATTCATTTCAATGTTTGCTGATGATGCAAAAATTATGAGAAGAATCAAGACAGATGAAGATAGACAGAGACTACAGGACGGCCAGGACTAATTAGTGGAATGACCTACAACATAAGAACTACCTTTAGAAAGTTGTGTAAGGAAACGTTCATGACCTTATATACCACTTATATCAGACCAATCCTGGAGTATATAGCTCCAGCGTGGAGTCCATACCTACTTAAATACAACACAAAGTTAGAGAAGATTCAGAAATATGCAACCAGACTAGTCCCAGAACTGAGAGGCATGAGCTACGAGGAAAGACTAACGGAACTAAACCTCACGTCTCTGGGAACAGAAGAGTAAGGGAAGACATGATAACCACTTACAAAATTCTCAGGCAAATTGACAGGGTGGACAAAGGCAAACTCTTTAACACGGGTGGAACACGAACAAGGGGACACAGGTGGAAACTTAGTACTCAAATGAGCCAAAGAGGCATTAGAATTTTTTTTTCATTGTCAGAGTAGTTAACAAATGGAATTCATTAAGTAGTGATGTGGTGGAGGCTGACTCCATACACAGTTACAAATGTAGATATGATAGAGCCCAGTAGGCTCAGGAATCTGTACACCAGTTGATTGACAGTTGAGAAGCGGGACCAAAGAGCCAAAGCTCAACCCCCGCAAGCACAACTAGGTGAATACACACTCACAGGCAAAGTTATAAACATTTATTGACACGCCAAATTTTGGATATATCTATACTGTATGAGAACGAGTTTGACCATTTTGAATGCCCGTCAAAAGTTATATATTTATTTATTTATTTTATTTATTTATATACAAGAAGGTACATTGGGTTTGTGAGAATACATAGCATAGTACAGTAATTGCACTCTTGTAAAGCCACTAGTACGCGCAACGTTTCGGGCAGGTCCTTAATCTAACAGATAATTTTAAGTAGGTAAATTCTATCAGAATTAGAAGTTAAGAGGCCAGACGCTTGGGGCTAGCCTCACTCAAATTTGTTGGGGGGTAAATGGTGTAACGGAATGGGCGCAGACTCGTCGGGGGAAGCACAAGTTAAATGATTCAAGAAATATTAGTAATTATTAACCTCCCCTCCCCCACGTCCTGTTGGATTCTCATGGATTCAATGCTGGTCAGATGTGAAATATGGGTCGAGATGACCGAGGAGTTTTCACAAGAACAACTATTTCCAAAGTCACCCAGAGTGTCAGTGCAGACTACTGATCACATGCCTCTGTATGACTTGCCATCCTGTGTGATGGGGATTTTTTAGCACCACGTATCTAGCTTTATGACACACTGTACTCCCCTTCATATAGTCTAGGGCAGCTGCACATATGCAGCTGCATCTAAATGTGTTAATAACAATAACAAAAAAACAAACACATTCAGTAGTTTCATTCCCCCTAATATTATATTTTATAAAGGGGAATAGAGGCTAAGACGGGTGTGAGTGTAGAGGTTGATGTTGGAGGATGTTGAAGGATGAGGGGACGAGGGGAGGGGGCACTCTGGCACCTACAGTTATCTCTCCTGGAACTTATATCAAATTGTCAATCCCACTACCGTGAAAATAAACATGTAATTCACCTGGGAACTTGGAGAGACTAACCACCGACCCTATGAAGCGTGAGGCAGATTTTGCTAAGAGCAGTCTTAGTAAGGAAAGATTACAGACGCACCAACCTCCGCACAGCTGTAATTTTCGACTTTTCCTGATTACTGCTAAAGCTCTGAAAAATTAGTGATCCACGGCGACGTCACAAAAATTATAAACCACACGTGGTATACATATGGTGGGCGAGGATCACTAATTCATCTGAGCTTAAGTAGTAGTTGGGAAAAGTCGAAACTTCCTGCTGGGCAGCAGTTAGTTGCTCCTGGAATCTTTCCTTACTAAGACTGGTCACAGCAAAGTCGGTAGAGCCGCTGCCTCACGCTCGTAGGGTCGGCATTTCGTCTCTCCCAGTCCTCAGGTGAAACGACCTGAACTCGCTCGAACTTCCTGTCCATCACATTGGAAACAATAGACAGAATGCGAGGCGCATGTTCAAAACATGTTACACACAGGTAACAGTCCACATCTTTGTACTCCCGAAAACGCTTTCCATGGAAGCGGAAATAAAAAATACCAATATCAAGCCTAAAGCCATTCATAGGCATACTATCCTAAATCTAGGATATATTTGAACTAGGATAGGTTAGGTTGATTCATTATTAACTTTCTCAAATTTTACAAGCATTTGCTCGAGTACAAAATGTGGACTTAACTATGGGCAGCAGAACACATGACGTTCACTATACATGTCACTATCTCACTATCAACTGAGAAGAAAATGTATCATTTACACAGATTGTGGAAAAATTGCCGAGCCCGTCTGCGATTGTCATCGAAAGGTCATCCACGCTGCAGTAACCTAACCTTCCATTAGTATATATATGAATGAAATGTGGTGTACATTATACAGTGTGTGTATGTATGTTAACATATATAGTATATTTACCAGTGAAGAGGGGCAGACGCGCCTCTCTACGCGCCTCTTGTGGCCACACAGACACAGTGCTACTTACTCTGGGTGGACGATGGGCACCGTCAGCACCAAGTCTGGCGGGATGTCGAACCACTCGGGGTCGTGGCCGCCGGCAGAGAGAACCAGGGGTAGAACCTCCCACCTCTTGCCCTGGCCCTTCCACCCCAGCCGCTGACACACCTGTGGACACGTGCATCTTGACACACCTGCGGACACCTGCCACCACTTGATCCGCCAGAGGGTTAAAAGAGGGAGGTGGTGAATGATGCATCAGGGTGACTGGAGGTTACCAGGCGTGTAACGCGGTAAGTGCTCGAGCTCCTCTCACTGCCAGACATGATGGCACCAGCTGCACCACGGTGGCAGGGGAGAGGGGGGGTGATGTGGCAGGCAGGGGGAGAGGGGGGGAGGTGATGTGGGAGGCATGTGGAGGGGGGGGGGGGTGATGTGGGAGGCAGGTGGAGGGGGGGGAGGTAATGTGGGAGGCAGGTGGAGGGGGGGGGGGGTGATGTGGGAGGCAGGTGGAGGGGGGGGGTGATGTGGCAGGCAGGGGGAGAGGGGGGGGGTGATGTGGGAGGCAGGGGGAGAGGGGGGGTGATGTGGGAGGCAGGGGGAGGGGGGGGGTGATGTGGGAGGCAGGGGGAGGGGGGGGTGTGATGTGGGAGGCAGGTGGAGGGGGGGGTGATGTGGGAGGCGGATGGAGGGGGGAGGTAATGTGGGAGGCAGGGGGAGGGGGGAGGTAATGTGGGAGGCAGGGGGAGGGGGGAGGTAATGTGGGAAGCAGGGGGAGGGGGGGGAGGTAATGTGGGAGGCAGGGGGAGGGGGGGAGGTAATGTGGGAGGCAGGGGGAGGGGGGAGGTAATGTGGGAGGCAGGGGGAGGGGGGGAGGTAATGTGGGAGGCAGGGGGAGGGGGGGAGGTAATGTGGGCGGCAGGGGGAGGTAATGTGGGAGGCAGGGGGAGGGGGGGAGGTAATGTGGGAGGCAGGGGGAGGGGGGGAGGTAATGTGGGAGGCAGGGGGGGAGGGGGGGAGGTAATGTGGGGGGGGAGGTAATGTGGGGGGGGGGAGGGGGGAGGTAATGTGGGAGGCAGGGGAAGCGGGAGGTAATGTGGGAGGCAGGGGAAGCGGGAGGTAATGTGAGAGGCAGGGGAAGGGGTGGGGGAAGTTTTTCCATTTATAAACAGGGGGGGTTTCGCGGGTGCATGGAATCACTTTTGGGTCTTTGTTTGGAGGAGGGGCTGAAACCCGCTGTTTATGAATGAAAAACTGTTTACACGCGACTCAAGTGATGACGTTCAAACACTTCCGGAACAAGTGCCTCACTGACGAATTCTGTTCGAACCACAACGCTGTAAATGCTTCACCCACGTACTACAAATAATCGCCAACAGAACCTAAACACCAAAAAACAATACCTAAATATGAACAGCATGCTAATATATAGTAATATTAATTTATATTTGAGAAAATTCCTATTTTGAATGAAACATGTTTAAAATTGATGAATGCGACTTTGGAGTCGGCCGCTGGATGGAATGGACTTAGTCTGAGGACGTGTTTTCTCTGTACATCAAGAAAATGTAAATACGTCTTTATACAATAACTTTACCACTGAGTAATTTTAAATTTATACAAAACATACGAAGCCAAATAGACGATTAAATAGTGATTGTAGTTACAAGTGGAAGTAAGCAAGAGTAATCATTGTCGTTTACGGGAACTCCCTAACTGGTCTCTCAATCCCTTTTTCTATATCCCAATTATCCCAGTATCCCTCCCCGTCCCAGCCAAGTGCAATACAATCACACAGGCTTTGTGCTTTTCACTTAGTGTTCTTCATCAGAGCGGCAGAGAGCGGTGGAAGGTACACGAGGGAGACGAAGAAGGATACCTCTGTGAGTTCGATGTTGAGGGGGTCGCCGATGACGGAGCCGTCCTCTTGCTTGTACCCGGCGTAGCTGATCAGCTGAGGGTTCCACACCCGGAAGTCGTGTTTCCCGTCGGTCCTCTGAGGGAAGATGGTAATGGCCGACCTGTCGGGGGTGAGAACCATGTAAGGCTGGTGGCCCTAACACTGAGCATCTCTCATGCTCCTCGCAACACATCCTTACAACACACACTTCAACGCGAGGTGAAGTAACCCGCACGCTAGACTTGTGTACGCAAATATACTGCAAGACAAATTAAAAATAAATGTTTAAGAGGGAAATTAAGATTATTTCCCAAGGGTTCGTGTTCTACTGTTTGCTTAAAGGCAAAGAATAAACTATAATTGTCCTTAAAAATGGGCAATTCAGTTCAGACCTCAAACGTCCACATGTGTGGATGACGGCCACGTCACGTGTGGGGGGGGGGGGCTCCCCCCCGTCACGTGTGCCCCCCCCCCCGTCACGTGTGGGGGGGGGGGCCGTGACGTGTCGCCGTCCTGCTTGGTCTCTGACCTTTCAACACATTAATTATTTAAAATATATAATTCCTTATAAAGAATTCTAGAATTGTGAAGCCTTGATTGATGGGCTTACGGTGGCGTGTGATCGTCAAGTTACATTCAACACAGTTTTATTAATCCATTGTTGACAGCGCCAGACTTGATCACGAGGATTTCGCAACAATGGTTTAAGACCATAAGTAAATTGTAAAGATGTTACTAGAGCCTGGAATAAGTTTAGCTCTATGTCAATGAAAAGAACCACCACCCGTAAATTTCACCTGTTTAATTACCCAGCCACAGACAGATAAACAGACAGACACAGACAGACAGACAGTGCAACAACAACCTGTCCCCTCGCATAACACACTGTATTTTGACGCAGACATCCTCAACGTCAGATTAGGATGCATTAATCACAGCGGCCTTCAAAAAATAACTTTTCCCATTTCCACTGGGCAGTAGAGTGACTGTCTCGCTTCGTGCAGATCGGCGTTCAATCCCCGACCGTCCAAAGTGGTTGGGAATCATTACTTTTCCCCCGTCCCATCCCAAATCCTTATCCCTTCCCAGTGTTATATAGTCATAATGACTTGCCGCTTTCCTCGGACAATTCCCTTCCTCCTATTTGTGGGACCTCTTAGGTGCGGGCAATTTAGTACATCTTTTAGTGACGTTGTGAACGCTCGAGACGACGGAATGGTGACAAAGAATATCCATCCACCTCTCCTCTATACATCTCGTACAAATGTGTATATTATATATATATATATATATATATATATATATATATATATATATATATATATATATATATATATATATATATATATATTATATATATATATATCGTACCTAATAGCCAGAACGCACTTCTCAGCCTACTATTCAAGGCCCGATTTGCCTTATAAGCCAAGTTTTCATGAATTAATATTTTTTCGTCTACCTAACCTACCTAACCTAACCTAGCTTTTTTGGCTACCTAACCTAACCTTACCTATAAATATAGGTTAGGTTAGGTAGGGTTGGTTAGGTTCGGTCATATATCTACATTAATTTTAACTCCAATAAAAAAAAATTGACCTCATACATAGAGAAAAGGGTTGCTTTATCATTTCATAAGAAAAAAATTATAGTAAATATATTAATTCAGGAAAACTTGGCTTATTAGGCAAATCGGGCCTTGAATAGTAGGCTGAGAAGTGAGTTCTGGCTACTAGGTACGACATATATATATATATATATATATATATATATATATATATATATATTATATATATATGTGTGTGTATATGTGTATATATACATATATACACATATATATACATATATACACATACATACATATATACACATACATACACATACATACATACACATACATACATACACATACATACATACACACAGATACATACATACATACATACCACACACACACGTACCTAAGGTTGCCTTTGTTGGTGCCATACTTGATGTGGTTGCAGAGTGCCTCAAACATGCCGCTGGCAGTGGTGACGTAGCGGGCGTCGAACACCTGCACGATAAAAAGGTCAACTTGGGGTCAAAACATCTGTGAACGCTAATGTCTTGGGTCAACATAGGTCAGATGTCACCACAGTGCCAGAAATGTAAATAAAAGTTATCTGGCTTTATTAAAACTCATCCTTTAATCCCTACACAATCTGCAATTTTATTCAGTGTAAGCAAATATATTATTCAATGAACAATACGAGGGGGGTGTTATACATTAATGGAACGGAGAACAGGATTGTACAACACTGAGCGGAATATTAACATTGTGCCACTGAATAACAGATTGAGGAGAATTGTGGTTTTAAACCATTTATTAAGTGTTTAACGAGTCAACGGTTAAATGAGGTGTAGAGCTGCAGTTTCTTTCGTAATGTTTCCTGGAGAAAGTATAATGATAGTTGTGATAATCCACCAACAATCCACGTGGCGTACAACCTGAGAGCAGACCAAAACTACCTCGAACCATGCGACAAGCTTTTTTTAAAAAATGTCTTCCTAGGTGTATGACAGTCATTTTGTATTTTTTTTTCCTGTGGAAACCAATTGTACTTCATAGTGGGGAATTCACTTGTTTTCTTGTAACCGCGCCTGGTACCTACAGAACCCCACCTAATTGATGGGGTTCTGGGAGTAGTAGTTCTCCCAAAGCCCAGCCAGAGGCCAGGTTGACCTGAGAGGAACGATTGGGCTGTGTGGAATAATGGCTTTTCTTCTGCTGTGGCTATGTTATTATTAAGGCCTGTCGGCCGTCTATCACTCCCTCAAAGGAGGACGTAATGTATGGGGGGTTTGATAGGGCTGGTAATAGCCCGACTTCGGTTAGAAGACACAGAAATGCTTTATGAATAATGGCTGTGTGGAATAATGGCTGTAATGAATAATATTACAACAATGCGAGGAGTGCCCGAGGGTGTGGAGGACAAGCCAGTGACGGGCTTAAGATTCAATTTCTGTATTATGCACCCCATACCCATCTGGTGGGCGGTGGTGGAAAGGGTAACAGAGGCACATAATAGGTTCAGGAACTGAACCCCATTGTGTCCTTCCCTGACATTTCGTTGTAATATACATGTAAACGGGACAGTTAAAGCTGAAGTGTGTTTAAGTAACATTTAGTTTGTGTATTTATATGTTCAATGCTCTATTCTATCCAGGTCTGAGAGGAGGAGGAATTACCGACGCCGCCACATTAACAGACAAGACGGTGCAGGTTTGTCTTTAGTAATTATATGTATTCTGAATCACTGAAAATTAATTATTTCAAATATAAACACCAGTTTGGCGTGGCTATGATTCTATGTTTATCCTATTGACTTTGGAATTAACTCTACGATGACCTGTGGTATACGGCGTGTGTTCTGCTCGTTTTATGAGCATTTATGCCGGTGATCAAGCATGTTGTTTATGCATTGTCCTGTACTCTTACTGTTTTAGAAAATAAGACATTTAATGAGAGAATTACAATCTACCCCTCTGTGCTTGCTCGGGCTAGATTGTGGTACATCTTATGAAGTAACCAACACATGATTTACACAATTTACAATTATCTTGTTTATTGAATACAATTTAATGTGGGGAGAGCTGGTATAACCAGAGTATTACCACCTGCCTTGCCACACAACGCTCCAACACCGTCCAGCACCTGGTAACACTGCACCTGCCTCGCCACACAACGCTCCAACACCGTCCAGCACCTGGTAACACTGCACCTGCCTCGCCACACAACGCTCCAACACCGTCTAGCACCTGGTAACACTGCACCTGCCTCGCCACACAACGCTCCAACACCGTCCAGCACCTGGTAACACTGCACCTGCCTCGCCACACAACGCTCCAACACCGTCTAGCACCTGGTAACACTGCACCTGCCTCGCCACACAACGCTCCAACACCGTCCAGCACCTGGTAACACTGCACCTGCCTCGCCACACAACGCTCCAACACCGTCTAGCACCTGGTAACACTGCACCTGCCTTGCCACACAACGCTCCAACACCGTCCAGCACCTGGTAACACTGCACCTGCCTCGCCACACAACGCTCCAACACCGTCTAGCACCTGGTAACACTGCAAACCACATATACAACATTTCTACAACTTATAACACAGCGAGTGGACAGACGAGTGCAAAAAAACTGTAGACAGAACTTCAGGATGAGCTACAGGACTATGTAAAAGTCATGCATGCAAAACAATACACAAAAAATGGGATGATCTAATAAACAAATGCCGAATAGATCACAGAAACCGAAGACAGATCTGGTAAAAGAAACAAGTAAAAAAAACACGAGACCTCATGAGAAAACCACGAGACTTCAAGAGAAACCTCGACAGAGGACACCACCTTACGTCAGACTCCTTATAAAACAAGCTTTAAGAAGAAAGAAAAAGAACGGAAATTAAGTTAGTATTGGCGTTATGACCAATAACGAAGTCTTGTATAGTGAAACATGATAATGTTGAAAACAGATAATGTGAATACATTGAGCCTGGAAGCAGCTAAGCTTGCATTTTTGTCAGACGTATAAATGATAATTGTCATGTAAGCTCCTGGCTAGATTTAAGAAATGATACTGTGTACATTAGTGAATTAATGAAACATCCAGAAGGGTACATGATATAAGGTGTGACAATGTAAGGAATTGGTGGTGGTCAAATGAGTCGGTAGACTGTTACTGTGTGATCATCTGGGGCTACTCCGAGGCACCATGGGTAGGGTATTCAATTGGTAACTGAACTGGAGAGCAAACGGTCATGTTTGGTTGACACTTGGCAGTTCGTCTCAGGTAAGTCCTTATGTATTTCTCAAATATTTTCCACCAACATACATTAATAACTTATTGATGTATGCAACTCTAAGCTTGCTCCACTGTTGATGTGTTTAAGGGAGTTGGTTTAGAGTATTTTCTTATGTGTAGGGTTACGGGATATTCCAACTACACCCTTCAGAGGTCTTTGGACCTGCTTACAGTTTCATTTGTGTGCCTTTATCTCTGTCCCAGGAGGATTGTGAGCATAAAGTAAATGTCAACAGGCAGTGCCAGAATTTGTGTCATGGGAAAGGGTTCTGTGATTAATAAATCAAAGTATATACACTAGTTATTCCTTGTGTTCATGCAGTGTGGAGGGGTGTGATTTATATCACAAAGCAGATTAAATGTGGGGGAATAATATATATATATATATATATATATATATATATATATATATGTCGTACCTAATAGCCAGAACGCACTTCTCAGCCTACTATTCAAGGCCCGATTTGCCTAATAAGCCAAGTTTTCCTGAATTAATATATTTACTATAATTTTTTTCTTATGAAATGATAAAGCAACCCTTTTCTCTATGTATGAGGTCAATTTTTTTTTAATGGAGTTAAAATTAACGAAGATATATGACCGAACCTAACCAACCCTACCTAACCTAACCTAACCTATCTTTATAGGTAAGGTTAGGTTAGGTAGCCAAAAAAAGCTAGGTTAGGTTAGGTTAGGTAGGTTAGGTAGACGAAAAAACATTAATTCATGAAAACTTGGCTTATTAGGCAAATCGGGCCTTGAATAGTAGGCTGAGAAGTGCGTTCTGGCTATTAGGTACGACATATATATATATATATATATATATATATATATATATATATATATATATATATATATATATATATATATATATATATATATATATATATATATATATATTAATATATGACCGAAAAAGTAAGATTAATAATTCTAACACGAATTTTCTCTATCTTTCTTACATTTCTTTTCACTGTTGATGGTAATTCAAAGATCAATTCTCCAAAATTCATTTTTATTTCTAGTCTGACGCGACACTTGAGCGCGTTTCGTAAAACTTATTACATTTTCAAAGACTTTAGTTTACAAACACACAACTGAAACTGAATAGAGCTTACACATCTTCGAGGTTTATATCTACATTTGGGTGAGGTGGATGAGGTGAAAAACGAACTTTCAACAATGGGTATTCAATGGGTATTAAATTCCAACACAAGACAGAACACGAAACAATGGGTATTGAATGGGTATTAAATTCAAACACAAGACAGAACACGAAACAATGGGTATTGAATGGAAGTAATTGTAGAAAGCCTATTGGTCCATATTTCTTGATGCTTCTATATTGGAGCGGAGTCTTGAAGTGGGTAGAATATAGTTGTGCATTAATTGGCTGTTGATTGCTGGTGTTGACTTCTTGATGTGTAGTGCCTCGCAGACGTCAAGCCGCCTGCTATCGCTGTATCTATCGATGATTTCTGTGTTGTTTGCTAAGATTTCTCTGGTGATGGTTTGTTTGTGGGAAGAGATTATATGTTCCTTAATGGAGCCCTGTTGCTTATGCATCGTTAAACGCCTGGAAAGAGATGTTGTTGTCTTGCCTATATACTGTTTTTTTTGAGGCTTACAGTCCCCAAGAGGGCATTTGAAGGCATAGACGACGTTGGTCTCTTTTAAAGCGTTCTGCTTTGTGTCTGGAGAGTTTCTCATGAGTAGGCTGGCCGTTTTTCTGGTTTTATAGTAAATCGTCAGTTGTATCTTCTGATTTTTGTCTGTAGGGATAACGTTTCTACTGACAATATCTTTCAGGACCCTTTCCTCCGTTTTATGGGCTGTGGAAAAGAAGTTCCTGTAAAATAGTCTAATAGGGGGTATAGGTGTTGTGTTAGTTGTCTCTTCATAGGTTGCATGGCGTTTCACTTTCCTTCTTATGATGTCTTCCACGAAACCATTGGAGAAGCCGTTGTTGACTAGGACCTGCCTTACCCTACAGAGTTCTTCGTCGACTTGCTTCCATTCTGAGCTGTGGCTGAGGGCACGGTCGACATAAGCGTTAACAACACTCCTCTTGTACCTGTCTGGGCAGTCACTGTTGGCATTCAGGCACATTCCTATGTTTGTTTCCTTAGTGTAGACTGCAGTGTGGAAAACTCCGCTCCTTTCCATGATTGTTACATCTAGAAAGGGCAGCTTCCCATCCTTCTCCATCTCGTAAGTGAAACGCAACACAGAATTCTGCTCAAATGCCTCCTTCAGCTCCTGCAGATGTCTGACATCAGGTACCTGTGTAAAAATGTGTCAACATACCTGCAGTATATGGCCGGTTTCAAGTTCAGCCGACTCATGCCAGCCTACTCAGAGAACTCTCCAGACACAAAGCAGAACGCTTTAAAAGAGACCAACGTCGTCTATGCCTTCAAATGCCCTCTTGGGGACTGTAAGCCTAAAAAAAAACAGTATATAGGCAAGACAACAACATCTCTTTCCAGGCGTTTAACGATGCATAAGCAACAGGGCTCCATTAAGGAACATATAATCTCTTCCCACAAACAAACCATCACCAGAGAAATCTTAGCAAACAACACAGAAATCATCGATAGATACAGCGATAGCAGGCGGCTTGACGTCTGCGAGGCACTACACATCAAGAAGTCAACACCAGCAATCAACAGCCAATTAATGCACAACTATATTCTACCCACTTCAAGACTCCGCTCCAATATAGAAGCATCAAGAAATATGGACCAATAGGCTTTCTACAATTACTTCCATTCAATACCCATTGTTTCGTGTTCTGTCTTGTGTTTGAATTTAATACCCATTTACCCATTGTTTCGTGTTCTATGTGTTGGAATTTAATACCCATTGAATACCCATTGTTGAAAGTTCGTTTTTCACCTCATCCACCTCACCCAAATGTAGATATAAACCTCGAAGATGTGTAAGCTCTATTCAGTTTCAGTTGTGTGTTTGTAAACTAAAGTCTTTGAAAATGTAATAAGTTTTACGAAACGCGCTCAAGTGTCGCGTCAGACTAGAAATAAAAATGAATTTTGGAGAATTGATCTTTGAATTACCATCAACAGTGAAAAGAAATGTAAGAAAGATAGAGAAAATTCGTGTTAGAATTATTAATCTTACTTTTCGGTCATATTTAATAATATATGTCTACAGGAAAGACTGCTACCAAAATATACTAATATATATATATATATATATATATTTTGCCTAATAAGCCAAGTTTTCATGAATTAATTGTTTTTCGACTACCTAACCTACCTAACCTAACCTAACCTAATTTTTTCGGCTACCTAACCTAACCTAACCTAAATTTTTCGGCTACCTAACCTAACCTAACCTAACCTATAAAGATAGGTTAGGTTAGGTAGGGTTGGTTAGGTTCGGTCATATATCTACGTTAATTTTAACTCCAATAAAAAAAAATTGACCTCATACATAATGAAATGGGTAGCTTTATCATTTCATAAGAAAAAAAATAGAGAAAATATATTAGTTCAGGAAAACTTGACTTATTAGGCAAATCGGGCCTTGCATAGTAGGCTGAGAAGTGCGTTCTGGCTATTAGGTACGACATATATATATATATATATATATATATATATATATATATATATATACCCTTTTCATTATGTATGAGGTCAATTTTTTATATTGGAGTTAAAATTAACGTAGATATATGACCGAACCTAACCAACCCTACCTAACCTAACCTATCTTTAAGGGTTAGGTTAGGTTGCCGAAAAAGTTAGGTTAGGTTAGGTAGTCGAAAAACAATTCATGAAAACTTGGCTTATTAGGCAAATCTGGCCTTGCATAGTAGGCTGAGAAGTGCGTTCTGGCTACTAAGTACGACATTTTATATATATATATATATATATATATATATATATATATATATATATATATATATATATATATATATATATATATATGTCGTACCTAGTAGCCAGAACTCACTTCTCGGCCTACTATGCAAGGCCCGATTTGCCTAATAAGCCAAGTTTTCCTGAATTAATATATTTTCTCTAATTTTTTTCTAATGAAATGATAAAGCTATCCATTTCATTACGTATGAGGTCAATTTTTTTTTATTGGAGTTAAAATTAACGTAGATATATGACTGAACCTAACCAACCCATCCTAACCTAACCTATCTTTATAGGTTAGGTTAGGTAGCCGAAAAAGTTAGGTTAGGTAGGTTAGGTAGTCGAAAAACAATTAATTCATGAAAACTTGGCTTATTAGGCAAATTGGGCCTTGCATAGTAGGCATAGAAGTGCGTTCTGGCTACTAGGTACGACATATATATATTTATATATATATATATATATATATATATATATATATATATATATATATATATATATATATATAGTGTGTAATAATATATTACACACACACCTATATGACCTGCCCCTTCCCCAGCAATACATAATTTACACTGATGACTTAACTCTGTCTACCACCTAAGGTAATCAAAGACCATTGGCCTACAATAGAATTCATAAACGACTTTGAAAAGTAACAGAAAATAAAGTGCTAACAAAAAAATTGCACTTTGCAAATTTAAATATGAAGTTTGTTACCCTCCACAACGACCCAATCCAACATTCGAATGTAGGCAGAATATCGAGACGAATATTAGAGCAGGAATCAGAATTCCCCTAAATGGCAGAATAGACAAAGCAAAAACAGCCTTAGAAAAGCCGAGAAGATTCCTTGACCTCAGCACGAACATGTAAAGCATCACTTATACAAGGCTCTAGTCCGGCCGCATTTCTCATGTCCTCCAGCACCATTACACACCTTAAAAGAAGTTAACGTATAAAAATTACAAGTGCAAAACATGCTATTAAGAGGAACAGCAAAACACCGTTTAACAAGACAATCATGGAACTCCATGAAGCCCTGAAGACACGACCACAACGTCAGACAACAACAATAAACTACCAGGGTGTGGGAATATAATCTTTATAGAAAACCAGATGCTAAAAGCCCCCACAATACACAATTTGAAGATGAAACAGTCTAGAAAAACGCACGAAAAAAGTGGAAATGGCTAGGGACTGAGTCATAAGTGCATGACGCCGCACACGACTTTATCTTAAAGTTTTTTGTTATACAGTGACAATATTCATTAAATTTTCTAACAGCCTTAGCAATTTGTAACATCTGATTTAGAATGGTTACCTCCCTTGTGACTATAATTTATTTTACTATGAGGGGAATTATTAGCATGACTACACATGGTCGAGAAAGCACCGAGCCGTCAAATGCAACAAAAGATGGATTGGAGAAGAATCTTAAATACAGCTGGATATGGTCAGTCAATTTGTCAATTCCTTAAATTATTATTTGCAAGTTTCACATGTATTTGACGTGAGTATAGACGCATCTATGTAGTAACAACAGTATACATCTGTGTTCATGTCCACGTAGATCATTAATAAACCCCCAAGTTCATCTTTCCTGCCCGCCTTCCCTTAAGCGAGGCCACCAGACAACACCAGGGGATACCCAGCCAACGCACGTCTGCTCACCTGCAGTTTGGACCACTGGATGCGTCCTATGCACCTGGGAGCGTTCCTCCAGCCCAGCTTGGCGCCGTAGACGAGCTCCGTCTGTGTAAGGTCGTAGGTACCTCGCTCCTCCACCTCCCTGCTCACCTGCTCCCACCGCTGCCTGTGCTGCTCACTCTGGTTCCTGCAACAAATAATTGGTCCCTCTTCAGTCATCAGCCTCACACAACAAGACGAAACTGTTTCCTAAACTATCGCTTCGTTTATGGCCTCGTCTTTGTTTAAATATCAAAACTTTCACATCACAAAGCACACTCGCAACCCTCTTTAAAAGCTCAGCGGCGGTTTCTTTATTATGGCCTAAAGATTGTCTAGGAACACACACTAGGAAGCAAGTGGACATGTTCACGAGTGTGCTACTATTTTATAACCTAAAAATAAACCCTAAATGTTATATTTGGTGATGTAAAACAGAAAACAGATTTAAATATTCAAAACCTAAAAAAAAATAACAGTTGAAGACAAGAACATGAAATTAACAGCAAAAACAAACACCGGCGTGCGAGCGAGAGAGAGGAATAATCAACTAAAAATAAGAGATAAGAAATTAACGACAGGAGAACAAAAGTAAAACGGAACACGTAAATAAGCTGACGTTATCAGATAGTGTCAGAATATAGCAGCCCATTTTCCTGGTTAGATAGTACCCATAGTCACGAATTCGTACGTACTTGGTTAGCTCTTAGATAGTAGTATACCGACTAGCAAGGATTTTTTTTTTTTAAATAAATGAAGTTACAACACAAACTTAAATACTCCCAGGCCTAGTATTGCACACACATGTACTATATTAGGCCTTATATCGTGTATTAGGCCTAGGAAGGTTAGAATAGCTTATTTTGTCAAACCAACAAGACAAAAAATTGTTTCTCGGTTTGTCTAATAGTTCAGATTTCTAATTTCTAGTTTCGTTATACGTCGGTATATATACTATGGTCCTCATCGTTACTATAATACTACCAAAACAGGAGGATGAGCTGGAATATAGGGCATTGGCATAAGGGAACTTCTCTCAATGTTACAGCATTAATTCACTTTTTCCTTATACTATTTTTTTTTAGTATTCAAGTATAACTATTGTCTTTCTCAAACATTAAGTCGTATGCAGGTCTTACTCTTCCCTTCAGCCTTGCATCAACTGCAAGCATCGACATGCACGAGCCACAATCACTCAGGGAAGCTGATTACACAGATTAGCAGCAGCAGCATCAGCGGTCCTAATCTATGTAAACTATCTTCCCGAGGGAGTGAACTCTTGCATGTCAGTGTCTCAAGATGACTCAAAGCTAAGGAGACTAAAAATTTAACAGAGTGGGAGAACGGTGAAGAGACGGGCAGGATGGCTGTTCGTGCACAACGGTCATTTCATTACATTCAATACTTATATTTTTATATACTGGTTCATTATATAAAAATTATATATGCGGTTGAGTCTAGTAGGTTTTACTTTTTCCAGATTTTCGAGAAATCTTGTTTCGATATCTTGTAAGCATATCATTCCACTCTTGTAGTCCCAACGTCTATAATTTCCCATCTTACCCAACGTGTTTCGTGGTGTAACCTGCTCCTTTAGCTTTATTAGGTACTCTTAACAATAGCACAGAAGCGGCCGACATCTAGCGGCATTTCTTATGTCATCTTCTCTACTTCGACCTCATTTTGGGTAAACACCAAGCCTAGTGTTGCCAGCTCGTCGGTTTTTTGTTATATGTTGCCTCGAGAAACGTTTTTCTGGTGTGTCCAACACGTTTGGTGCCCATGTTCCAACACTGAAGTCTACCTGGGGCTGCCGTGCGGTGTAGACGTGTCGCTTGACCGCTCCGGCAGTTTGGGGTAGTTGCCGTTTTCGCCAGCAGGAGGTGTGGGAGTGTCTACCCTCCCTGCTGTTCCTGGTGGTGGGGATGTGGCGTGTTTTGCGATGGGCAGCCCTATTCCCGCTGTCATGCAGTTAAACTCCATCAGATTGGAGTTTACTGGTCGTGCTGGTTACCCGCTGGTGGACGTGGTATTGAGTGACATGCTTCGAGTCCCAGTTTGGGACGTATATGGTGTTGAGTTGGTCACTGCTCACCGTGTCATCATCAAGTTTGTGGGTGAGGCGGTGTTCCGTGCTTTTCTACGGAGGTACGAGGGACGTACTTTGTAGCTGCAGGAATGCACCGGGTCTGTGGCCATTTCGGACCGTAGTGGTGCTGTGACGTATGTCAGTGTCTATGGCGCCCCTATGGAGTTTCCCGAGACACTCCTCCGGCGATTCTTCCAGAGGTACGGCTCTGTAATCAGTGTGCGGATGAACTCACTTTCGTCTGGCACGTATTCGGGTGTGAAGACCACCATTCGGACCCTCGGGATGCGACTGAGGTCGGACATTCTGTCCTCTGTCTGGCTGTTGGAGTACTACGTGCGGGTGTTTTATGCCCGACAACCCCGTACTTGCTTCCGGTGTGGCTTCTTGGGGCATCAGGCTGCAGAGTGTACTGCTGGTCCGGTTGCTCCCGTGAACTTGTTCCATGAAGAGGATTTCCCACCGCTCCCTTTGGAGGAGGACTCCGAGGGTGAGGTGGTGAGCGTCCCGTTCGCTGCTGAGGCTCCCCCAGCGTCACCCGACGTTCCCCCGGTTGTCGCAGACCCTCCTCCGGGTGTTGCGGTGCCGTCGGATGTTCCTCCTGACCATGTCTTTGGCCCTGCCGATCCCGTGGACCTTCCTGGTAATCCCTGTGTAGCGTCGCCGTCTGCTTCCTCGTCTTCGGATGCAGAACCTAGCCCTGCATCCTCGCCTCGGGTCCCTGCTGTGCTGGGGTGGCTGCGGAGCCTTCTGCTGTGTGTGGTCCGGTTCCTCCTGTGGTCGAGGCTGCTGTCGTTCTGCGTCGGGCGTCGGTTCGTCCGGCTAGTGGTGCCCGTGCTTCTGGATCTGCTTCCGGCTCTGACGATATCTGGCCGGAGCCCAAACGTTCCAGGCGTTCATCTACTGCCTGGGCTGATGTTGGGGACTTCAGTGACTGTGGGTCTTCAGGTGTTGACGGTGTGGCTCCGGATGAGTCGTTGTCTCCACGGTTGGTGGTGGCGGAGGTACATGTGCCTGCTGGTGCTGATGCCTGTGTCTCGGGTGTGCCTCCTGTTCCTTCCCCGCCCAGGGGCTCTCCGCAGCGGGGTGTGGTGGCTTCCGATGCCGAGGATGGTGAGGGTGCTGGTGCTGGGCGTGGCCTGGTGATAACTTTGAGAAAGGATGCGCGCCGCCGTGGTTCCCTGCAGTCGTCTGGTGATGTGCCCGTGGCCGCTGGTGCCCCTGTGGTGGTGCCCCTGTGGTGGTGCCCCTGTGGTGGTGCTTCTGTGGTGGTGCCCTCTGTCGGGCCCCCTCCTGCGGTGTTGTGCCTTGAGGACTTGAAGGCCCAGGTTGCCGAGTTCCTGCTGCTTGAACAGCCGGAGGATTTTTCTGATGAGCGGGTTCCAGGTGTCTGGGATAGGGTGGCGGTTACTCGCATCCGGAGGGACACCATATGGGTTCCCTGTCTGCGGGTGTTTGTTGCCGGGGTTCTGGTTCAAATGGCTGTTTGTTGCGGGGCGGTTGGTTTGGTGTGTGTTTTTTATATATGTCTTGTTTCTGTGCTGTACGTCTTGTTTCGGTGTGTACGGATGGGTGTGTGTGTGTGTGTGTGTGTGTGTGTGTGTGTGTGTGTGTGTGTGTGTGTGTGTGTGTGTGTGTGTGTGTGTGTGTGTGTGTGTGTGTGTGTGTGTGTGTGTGTGGGCCCCGCCCCCGCAGTCAGCCTCTTCGCTTCTGCAGGATTCCTCGCCTCTACACGACTCTTCTATACCGGATCCGGTGCCTCCGCGGGATCCCTCGCCTGTGCTGGTATCTTCGCTTCCGGCAGCTGCGCCTGTTCTCTCTCCAGCTTCGGTCTCCTCTGTGGGTGGTGGCCTCATCCCCCGCGTCGTTGAGGATGCTTTGCTACAGAGTCGTGCTCTCCCAGAAGCCTCCTTACAGCACCTGTAGTCCTGGCCCCCCCCCCTCACAGCATCTGTAGCCCAGGAGACCCTCACAGCACCTGTAGTCCTGGGCCCCCCCCCTCACAGCACCTGGAGCCCAGGGGCCTATCTACCGCTTATGGGGTCGGTTTCCTCTGAATTTTATATTTTCCTTAAACTCTAGTACAGTTGATTTGGTTGGGCTTACTCCCCCCACTACTACTTACCTCCCTGATTCCTGCCATCCTCACGGGACACCCCCCCCCCCCCCCCTACATTCTCTAACGCCCACTGCACCGTTTACGTCCTCGTTATGTCCGATTGATTTTGAGCCACTCCTGTAGCTCTTAACCCCCCCCCCCCATCCTTATTCCAGCTGCAACTGAGAGGGGGGAGCCGGGGTTGGGGGGGGGTCCGGGTGGGGTGAGGATGTCCGGCGTTGGGAGGGAGATATCGCCGTTGCCACCAGAGGCAGCTAGTGTATTGTGCACCCCATGCTCATCCTGTGAGCGGTGGCGCAACAAAGGGGCACAAATGTATATTCTCAGACATCTGCTTTAAGTGTTTCTGGCAGGTGTCTGGGAATCACCACAACGCTGGTTCAAGTCATTCCACTGCATCAAAATTTATATTTTGACTGCAGAAAATACCACATACATGCAGACAAAACTTAAAGACAAAAGAATGCTAAAGTATGTTTTTTCTGCATACTTGGGATCTGTGTTTGCGACCCATATTGGATCAATAGATGTGCTTGTCTTACTGCAAAATAGAATGATGGATTAACTTTTATCAATTTGACCTTGCCTGGTAATGGATACCTGATCAACCAGGCTGTTTGAAGCAGCTGCTCTCGGCATTACACGTCAGGCTGCGAGCAGCCGCGTCCAACAGCCTGGTTGATCAGGTATCCAGGAGGCCTAGCCAGAGACCGGACCTCTGACAAGTTGATCCCCTAAATCAAAGCAAGGTAACCTGCCTCAAGTCTAGCAGATTTTGTTGCAGATCCCGGTATATTGTTGACCTTTGGCTGCTCAAAGGCAATGCAAGATGGTAATCAATACCCTCTTTACGAGCAAATGTTTTGGCTAACTCATCAGTTCCATCATGCATTAGGAGGCCCCTTATAATGACACCTAGTCAATAGACACTTTTGCCCTG